ACTGGGTGCTCCTCACTGGTACAGGTCTCCCAACCTTGCCTCCCTCTGACCCTACCCCCTCCATCCTCAACGCCTGGCAAACCTCTGCCGACCTCTGCACAGACTACTATGGGTGGGTCCCTGATGAAATTGAGGTACATGGTGATGAGGCTGCCTTGGCCGATGCCTTGATCCAGGGCCGCCTCAGAATCATCAGCGATGGGTCATACAAAAATGACTTGGGGACTGCTGCTGTTCAGCTCCTTCCCAAAGGGGGAACTGCTTGCATTGTCATCCGTTGTCAAACTCCAGGCCTACCTCAGGATCAGAGTGCCTATCGTAGCGAGTTGATTGGCCTCCTGGCTGGGATTATGGCGGTCGACTGGCTCCTCCAACAATGGTTCCCAGCCCTTAGCCAGCGGCCGGGTGTCCAGATCGCCTGCGACGGCCTTTCGGCCATTGAAATGGCCTTTGAAGATCGACCCCTTTCACCCACTGATGCACAATTTGACCTGATCTCTTCCATCCGGGAAGCCATCTCTCAGTCTCCGGTGTCTTGGTCTCCACGGCATGTCTACGGACATTTGGACAAGTCCAACTTATTTGATGAACTCACTTGGTGGGAACGGAAAAACCTGGAGGTAGACGGCATGGCAGTGGATTTCCGCAAGGAACTAGAGGCGGCCCACCAACTTATCCCCCCCAATCCTCGGTTCTTCACGGAGCTGGCAGCTCTTTTTGTGGCTGACACAAAGCAGTCTCGGCTGAGTGACCACTTCATTCAGGAGTGCGTGACACTCCCCCGCCTGCGGCAACAATGGAGGAACCGTAATGTGATCTCTGAGGAGTCTGAAAACCTTATTGACTGGGAGACACTGGGTCGCGCTATGCGGTCACTACCTGCCGGACTCCAGCGCTGGATTACAAAACATTGGGTGGGCATGTGCGGCACGGGGAAGTTCAAAGTGTATTGGGGCCTTGAATCGTCCGCTGCGTGCCCTCGGTGCGGCGAGTTTGAAGATCACTTGCATGTTCCCCGTTGCCCAGCAGCCTCGGCTAGGGACGAATGGGACCGGAGGGTGACCGCTCTCTCGCTCTGGATGGATATACATCTTACCTCCCCCGCCATCAAACATGCGATACTCCTTCTGCTTCAGGGTGTTCGCGATTCCTCACGTCCATCTTGTGTGATCTCTCGGACCATTCGCCCGGCCTTTCTGGCACAGGAAACTATTGGGTGTCAGGGACTTTTGGAAGGCAGACTAGCCTCCTTGTGGCTGTCTCTGCAACAAAATTATTTTGACGAGATTCACAGTCGTCGGTCGGTTTCTCTGTGGGCCTCCCGTCTCTCCCAGCAACTCATCTCCATTGGGTTCTATATGTGGGAACAACGGAACGCCGTTCAACATTCGGATGACAATGTTCAGCTCCGTGAACGTCACTGCGTTGTCAACGAGGGGATTCACTCTCAGTTTGATATGGGTTCAGCTGATTTACCTCCGGATATTAGACGCATGCTGACATGCCGTCACAGCGTCCTCCGTAAGTCACTGGTGGACAAGGAAGAATGGCTGAAGCTACTTCGACAGGAGCGCAAGGACTATCGTCGCTCTCTGCGGGCTCAACGCCGTAGCCTCCGGACTATCTTCTCTGCTCCCCCCTCCTGAACGCTTCCCAACGTTTGTGGGACAATAAGCGCCCCGAATTCACCCCGCCTCGCCGCGGGAGAAGTCATTCTTAACAACATGACTTGAGCAACTTCTGTATAGATACAGATGCCTCCCATGGTTCAAACTCGTTGTTGACTCACCGCTCCACAGTACTTGACCTTTACAGCCGAATATTTCACCGGCAATCGAATGCCCATAGAGTAGCATCCTAACGATTAATGTCTCCGTTATTATTATGATCCGGATCGGGCACTACATGTGGAAAGACCGCAGCCGGCTTGCCCACTCTGAAGACAGCTCCTGGTACACGGCTCGCAAGCGGGAGATTGACATCGGCATCCGCGAACAGTTCGCCATGGGCCTGATGGATATCCCCCCAACGCTCGCAGTACCTCTTTTGTGACTCCCGCGAAACTGTCCTCAACAAATCACTCAAAGATCGTCAACATTGGCTGCGCCTTGTCTCCCGTGAGAGAGCGATTAACCGTCGCTCTCTAGCCAGGCAACGCCAGATGATCTTTGACCTGGAGCGACCCGGCAACCCAACATCGACTCGGCCACCTGGCGCGAGTCCATAAACAGACAGATGTCTCGGCCATATATCTGCCCCCTCTATGTTTCACTCTCCCTCTGTCGATAGGGACCTGCAGTATGTCACGTAGATGGTGGCCACATTGTTCTGGAACACTGTGCCATTAGGACACTCTCCATTCACTTGGATCGATACACCCACGGCAGAAGAGCGCAAGAACAAGTGGCTTCTCACCTGCTAGTACACAATCATGCCCACCACCACCTTCAAAAAACACAAAAACCAAATAAAAGTACGCCGCCTCGAGTGGCAAGATCGTCTCTACATGTGCAAGGGTGCAATGTAATATGCGATAGAGCAACTTCCCTGGGATTGGATGCCTCAAACTGGTTCAACAGTACTGGACTCACCTCCGTATGGTAAATGGCCATGACAGCCATTGACGGCAATCTAGGAACTTGAGATAGTTTTAATACGATTAATGCATCAGTTATATATATGCATTCAACACAGAATCCTCGTAGAAGTCGAAGCGAGATCTGTAAACAAAGGATTTTCCAAGGGAAAATTGTTGAACTCACTTTTGTAATTGAATCATCAATTCAAACCAAACATTAATCAAATAGGAACAATTTCACTCAAAGTATACCTAACACAGGAGAACTATTGTTGTGAAAGTGTTGTACAGTTGATTAAGAATTTAGATTGCAGAGAGTTTGTTCTGAGCGCTAAAGGCACTCACGATAGATCACATTTTGCATTATTCTAACATTCACTAAGCGAAATCACATCGTCAGTTTCCAGTAGAACGGATCCCGATCCGGCGAGGTTGCCTCGTTTGGGAGTGGTGGCTCCAAGTGGAGACTTAGTTGTGTTTCCTGGAGCTGCGCTGGGGGAGTTCTGTTTCTTCCATCGTTGGAGAGCCGCGCCGCTTGCCACCCACAGTTCACGCTCTTGTTCATTATCGAACTTGCGGTCCATTGCCAAACCCATCTTAAAGTATTCGGTAGCTTTGTCAATGCTGGAAGCCTTGTACCTGTTGTCGGCGGCATCTAGGAAGCCGTAGAAGTTCTTAGTTGAATGCTGTGGTGGCGGTAGGGGGGGTCCACCAGCATCTGTTGCGGGTGGACCAGCTCGGACTTCAAGCTGATCGAAAGTAACTTGCAGATTCTTGGTTGGATCTGTCCTGGATTCTTTGAGAGCACTCAGTTCCAGACTTTTTCGGTGCGCCTTTCCGCTGTTCTGGACAAATTGCAAAGCAGCAGTCATCTGGTCATGCTCGTCTAACTTTCGTAGTTCCATGTCTCTGTCCGATAATGTGAAGCCGGCCTTCCCGTAAACTGTGTCACCCCTTTTTGGATGAACTGCCTGGTACCAAGCAACTTCCTTTTGGTGCTTCCCTGTAGGATTGAGTCGCTTCTTGTAGTGTCTACCGCAAAGGTTTGCTAATGCTCCACAGACACAGAGATGCTTCTCACCATGGATATCTGTAATTTTGCAGGTCACGCAACAGTGCTTGTTGTTAGAAGTAAGTGATCCACTGCCGCCTGCAATCTACCTGTTCAATTGACTGCGATTTAGCTGTCCAGGTATTGTTGCCTTCTAAGTATGTGAATTTATAGTATATAGAAGTATATAGATCAATCAGAGATCCTACTTTA